CCATCCATCCATCCATCCACCCACTTACCCATCCATCCATCCATTCATTCTTCCTTCCATCTTCCTATATTTATTCTTTCCATTAATTCATCCATTTTTCCTTCCACTCACCCATCTTTCTATCCTTTTATTCACATATCCATCAATTTTTCTTTCAATCTACTTGTCCATCAATCTGTCCATCTGATCCTCCTTCCTTCCTCCCTCCCTCCTTCCTCCCTCCTTCCCTTCCCTTCCCTCCCCTTCCCTCCCTCCCTCCCTCCCTCTCTCCTTCCTTCCTTCCTTCCTTCCTTCCTTCCCTCCTTCCTTCCTTCTCTCCTTCCTTCCATTCATCTATCCATTATTTCCCCTTCCACCTCTCTGTGGGTCAGTTTCTGTTGTCACTAATGTATTCAGCAAATGCCATGCCCTGTTCAGTGTATTCACCAAATGCCATGCCCTGTTCAAGGCCTAAGGACACAGCACAATGTCCTACCCTCCAGGTTTTCACCTTCTATGGGAGAGACAGAAAGTAAATAAACAGGTCGATTAGGGCTATAATGTTGGGAGGTGGTAAATACCAAGAACAATAAAGTTGGATAAAAATGTGGAAATGATGGGGGTGATGGCCAGAGAACTCTGTGCAGAGGAACCGAGACCTCAGTGAACCACCAGAACATTCCAGGCAGGGAAATAACAGGTGCAAAGGCCCTAGGCAGGAGTGTGCTGGCCTAACAGGAAACAGCAGGTCTGGAATGGAGTAAAAGACTGGGGGTAGGGGTGAGAGAGAACAGGATTAGGTCATTTAGGGCTTTGCAGACCATAGTGGACTTTGCTTGTTCTCTGAGGGAGGTGGGAGCCACGGAGCATTTGAGCAAAGTGAGCCATGGTCTGCATTGGGATTTAATAGGATCACTCTGGCTAGGGTGCAAACAATACACTTAGTGGCCAAGGAGGGATGCAGAGAGACTGGTTGGGAGGCTACTGCGGAGAGCCCGGTGAGCTGTGCTGGTGTGGTCCACCTGAGCCTCTCTCTTTCATGCCTCAGTATCTCTGTCCCCTTGCCCAGAGGCCTTCTGCAGCCTTGCCTGGGGTACTGAGTGCCCATCCCACCTCCCCCCACTGACCACTGCTCTGGGCCCCCGTGGATTCATCTG